TGAAGTCCACAAGCCTTAAAGTTGCCAAGGTCGGACACCCCTGTTCTAAATTCTTAAAGACATATTCCCTTCCAAAATAACCTGCCTCCATTTCTACCTCTCAGCTTTAGAGCTGCTCAAGGAAGCCATTGAGAAAGCTGGTTATACTGATAAGATTGTGATTGGCATGGATGTGGCTGCATCAGAGTTCTACAGAGATGGCAAATATGACTTGGACTTCAAATCCCCTGATGATCCCAGCCGTTACATCTCTGCTGATGAACTGGGTGACCTCTATCAGAGCTTTGTACGGGACTATCCAGGTGAGTGACTACATACGGTCAAAGCCTTACTACTGAAGCTAAAGACACTGAGACTTCCTCTATTTGCAGTCTGGGGCGCATTGTAATTTTCTTGTTTCCTTTTGTTTTTTGCAGTGGTATCCATTGAGGATCCTTTTGATCAGGATGACTGGGAAGCCTGGTCAAAGTTCACGGCTAATGTAGGGATTCAGATAGTGGGAGATGACTTGACGGTGACCAACCCCAAACGCATTGAGCACGCAGTTGAGGAGAAGGCCTGCAACTGTCTACTGCTTAAAGTCAACCAGATTGGATCGGTCACTGAAGCTATTCAAGCGTGAGTTGTCTTAAGCCACTCCATTCTCCAACAGCCACTGTGCTACCAAGTACCCATTCACAGTTCCAAAGTTTTTATCTTCAGGACGCAAATCCACTAAGTTTATGATATTCACTTACAGTTGTAAACTGGCTCAAGAGAATGGCTGGGGGGTGATGGTGAGTCATCGATCAGGGGAGACTGAAGACACCTTCATCGCTGACCTGGTGGTGGGACTCTGTACTGGGCAGGTAGGTTCTAACTAGTGGAAATCATGTATTGTCTCCTTTTGGAGAGAAGCTGGCAAGAGCTAGAAAATTGCCACTCTTGAGAGAGAATCTTAATAGACAGAATTGATTTGGTGTCTGATACAAATGAGCATTGTGGAAGAAAAATGTACAAAAGTGTTTAAAAAGTGTAGACATTTCAATAAATCAGATTAAAAACTTTCAGTCACTCTAATAACCAAGAAGACAGTATATATAAATGGGAATGTTGGGTACTTAAATACAGTCCCAGCAGAACTGGGACCAAAATCAGATGGAATATGGAACATATTGCTGTGACACAACAGCTAGGGTAATCTTTATTCTTTCTTCCAGTGTTTTCCATACCCACAACACTGTGTGGTAGCTTGAGCAGAAAGAGAGAGTGATCAGCCTAAAGTCATACACTGAGATTTCAGGGCTGAGTGTAAGCTTGAATCTGGTCCTTCTTAGTCCTAATTTAGCATCTTAAACACTGTTTCCTTTCGTCCAAAAGAAAAGAGTGATGATGTGGGTAAGGTAAAAAAAACTGGGACAGAATAAACAGTTCCATGAGGAGGCTGTTCTTTGGGTCTTGAAACCAGGGGAGGTTTCCAGAAAAAGTGATAGACGATGAAAAGGGCAGGAACATGGCAGCAAATGGGCTTGGGGTCAGCATAGGAGTAGCAGGGGGTTGGACTAGAAGATCTCCAAGGCCCCTTCCAACTCCATTATTCTATGATTGGTGCCAGTAACCTCAACATCTTCCTCTAAAGAAATACAGAAACATGTCAGCTAAGGACGCTGTGCAGTGAAGATCCAGTTGCTCCCACCTCTAAAATATTCTGACAAGCCTCTAGGCATTGAACTTGTGTGGGGAGGGTGGGGGGAGAAAGTGATCCATTTGCTTCCAGCTGACAGTTAACAAGCTTGGGGCAGAATGTGGAAGCAGAGGAAAATAAACAGGCAAGGTTCTGGTAACAAGAGAACGGGCTCTTTCTTCTCCCCCCTCCCCCCTCTTTTAAGCAAACTTTTGCAAAGATTGTGCAGTTAGCAAAAAACAAAGTTTACTTTAAGGTTTATTCCTCATCTCATACACCTTTGATATCATGACAGAGCTCAGATAAGCACAAAAGATGTTTATTCTTGGTGGGCTGCCTTTGCCTATAATTGACATGTTTGTGTGAATCTCCATAAAATATTACTGAATTGACGCTGACCTTTGCAGATAAAAACCGGAGCTCCGTGTAGATCTGAGCGTCTGGCAAAATATAATCAGCTAATGAGGTAAGAAATGTGAGGGAAGTAAGGTGGATACGCCTGTGTGTGAGAAAAGAGAGCGAGTGAGTTTGGAGGAGATAGGAATATCAACCTGCATATCTTTCAGTAGAGGTCTGTCCTGCTGGATTGGACTAATATAACAAAGGAGAACTTTCGTTGCTAGAGATTCATTGGATCCTGTTGCTACTGCACAGCAATGCAAGCACGAACACAGCACTAGAGCATACATGTGTTCTGGTGATTGACAACGTCGTCAAAACAGCTTGGCATCCTCAATGTTACCTTTGTCTACACATAATGCTGGCCTTGCCTTTGGCCCAGGCCATCACGACAGCAGATTTATCCTGTTATTTCTTGATTGCTGCAGACAGCTGCCCAATACAGAGAGTAACAAGGAGTATAGGTCCTTATGTTGCAGGTCTTTCAGGTATCTGAACAAAGACTGAGTTCTTCTAAGAATCATTCTGAAGGCAGGCTTATGATGGAAGCAGCAGGGAATCTCTTTCAGTTGTTATTCTAGGCCAAATTCTTAGGGGCCTCCAGAGGGAAATCTTCTATAGTACCCAACAAAACATCCTGCACATCTGTTTTTCTCTCCTTACTACATTTTTTATGGAAAATGAGATTTGTCAGTGGAAATCATATGCCCTTAAGGACCAGCCCATGGAAAGGCAAGTGGTTAATGCTTGCATTTGTGGCACAGGTAGTGGGGATAAAGAAGCAGGAGAATCTACCAATAGGAAGTCATAGTCTGGGCAGAACACCATAGCTGAGCAGAACACCATGACTAAAGTAGAAGAAGAGGCTACAGCCCAGAAACACATTTTTAAGCCAGCTTCATTACAGCCAGTTTATGAACCAGAGTCCAGGGAGTTAAGGTCACAGTCCAGAAAAACTGATAGTCATGAAATAAAGGTTTGGAACAATAATTAATTTCCCAAGAATTATTATTTTGTCAAAATCATACCAAGAGCATAGCACAAAATCAGGAGCCCCCAAATAAAACCAAGAAATAGCCAAGGATCTGCAGACCTGTCTAACTATAGCTAAAACTGCTGTTCTTGAGTTCATCATCAAGAGAGACCCGAGATGAAATGAGCTTCATTGAAGAATAGCATCATCAGCAAACTGAACTGGAGGATCAAAATAGGCAAGATGGCACTTGCAACATTGACCGAAACTCCTCTCTTTGTACATGCATACAAAAGAGACAGAGCTTGGACTGTGATGCCACAACTGCTTTCTTGCTTATCTTAACCCCCCATGGATGTCTCAGAGCAAGGTGAAAGCCATTGCCTGTTATGAACATTGATGCTTGTGGAGGCATGTTCTATGGGCAGATGAGTTTAAAGGGAAACTCTTTTAAGTAGCAAAGCTGTCAGTATATCTGGTGGCAACTGAATATTCTATTACAAGCTGGCAACCTTTCCTGACAGTGAGAACAATTAATCAGGGGAACAGCTTGCCTTCAGAAGTTGTGGGTACTCCATCACAGGAGGTTTTCAAGAAGAGATTGGATAGCCATTTGTCTAGAGATTGGATAGCCATTTGTCTCCTGCCTGAGGAGGGGTTTCTGTTATTCAGTTAGAACTTTGGACCAATCATGAAGCATGACAACAGTAGTGGTTTGAAGACATTCTGCTTTGTATCAGATAAGGATATCAGATGATCTGTCTATCAACTGAAGCTGAAATGAAAGTAGATGTTTAGCATCACTGAAAATGATACCATAGTAGAGAGCTTGATAACACTGCAGGACAGAGATGTCAAATATACAGTACTAACAAGTCAGCAAGAGAGTACACGAAAAAGAGCAAATTCATGTTTTGGGATAACCAAACCAAAGTCCATAGCTAAACCCCACTGAAATATTAGGGCACGATGCCTATGATGAGCTGTTAAAATGCTATAAACCCCCCCAATGTGACTGACATGTAGCAATGCACACGACACATTTTCCTCAGAAAGAGTCATTTAGAGCTTTGAATGTAAAGCCAGGAGCTGAATAAAAATGGTTCCAGTTCATAGCCTGTACTTTTATAGTACACTGTCATTCATTGGGTTCCACAGAAGGAGGTGTTCTGACCTTAAATTTCATGTGAAATTAACTTTTTGGGGATTATGTCTAGTACATGTGGCTGATACCCATAATATACTCCATTAACTATCTGTCTGCATTCCATAGGATTGAGGAAGAACTTGGTGATGAAGCTCGCTTTGCTGGGCACAACTTCCGTAACCCAAGTGTCCTATAAATGCATCCTGGCATACTCTGGCCATGCCTGCTATTTCAGTGCACAGACTCTGAGTGCCCATTAGATCACATCTTCCATCGTCCTTGTTCCACACTCTCCTGCTCCTGGTCTTCTCAGACCCACTCACTGGAATTGCCCAGGATATGCAAAGACTGACGCTTCCTTTTGCCTGTCATGATGCAATGCTGCAAGTCAGCTTTGTCTGTGTTGCGCAGTGTCTGCTGTTTAGACCTGCTTGAGTCATCGTTATACCCAAGTACAAAATGATGTCAGCATGTTTGCCCTGGTGTTTGGCCAGTATTTTGCACATTTGAAGATTGTCCTTAAATTGGAGTCCGGATTGTATTTGCTTATTGATACAAGATGGTGTTTTTGTGTTTTTGTCCCTTGCAATATCAGCATCTATGTTTTGATCCCTGTGAGTTGTGTTTAAACTTGTGTGCTGCATATTGTTAGTAACTGGTTGCTCCATTTGTATGTGTGACAGGGAGGGGGGGGGGAGAAAAGAAACGTAAGTGAGAGAATATATGTTCTTACCAGCCACAAAATACAATTTAATTACAAGCAGTGTGTGTGTGTGTGTGTGTGTGTGTGTGTGTAGGTTAGTAGTTAGTATGCATCTGCATCTGGGGTTAGGCGCCCATTGATCCAAAGGTTGAATTGCTGTAGATTTTTTTTCTGAATGTGAAGGGCAAGATGTCTGGTATGATACACTGGATTAGTGTGCCATGTTTTGTAGGGTGCTGTGGGTAGTGCATCGTGGACATGTTCTTGCAATCAGCACTTTGCTCTGATCTCTCTCCCTCTCATTGCTGCCTGGATGTTTGGTCGCATTTTACTCTCTGCCTCTTCATCCATTTTCCTCTTGCTCTGCTATCATTTCTGCTTTAAGCCACAGAGGTTTCACATTCAACTGCCTCCTCACCAATAAACAAACAACAGAAGAAAAAAGAGAAGAAAAACCAACATCCAGAAAAATAACCAACAAGTAAAACCTCAATTCAATTAAATTGTTTCAAACCTGAGTGTTCTGCCTTTGCTTGTATATCTGTTATTTATTAGGGAAACTGGAAATACTCTAAAAATGGGTGAAATACTCTAGAAGGGATGTGAGCTTCACAGTTTCCAGAAGTCTCAAGACACAAATATTCAAGTTGGAGCTTGTTGGCAATACAAGTGGAGCTAGTGGGACCAGCTGAGGAAGGTTGGTCATAAGGAGAACCTGCCTGTACCTGTGCTTTAAAGATAGATCCTGCTAAAATATGCAGGGCAAATAAGTGAAAGTTCTCACTAAGCCAAAGAGAAAATATTCCCCTATTATTGCTTTCCCTAGAGATCCTGAAAAGAAGGACCTCCTGATATGATGCCGGCTTTAAAAAAAGGGGCCCAATTCATGGAAGTTATAGGGGGTCAATGACTGTCAGCCTTAATAGCATCATGACTCCTGCTGAGAAACTAGTAGGAATGTGAATGTGGTTGACCACTCTGATAACAAATTGATGGACTAGATGGGCAAGGGGGATGATCCAGCAGGGTCCTGGTTATGTTTCTTATAATAGTAACTTATATCACAAGGCCTTGAGACCTTGAGGGATAAATATAGCCTAAGGAAGTTGAGAGAGTTGGAATTATTAAAAAGAAAACGTCCATTTCTGGGCCTGCTAGGGCTATTGATCTTTATCACTCAATGCCACTTAAAGCCCAGAGCTCAAATCAAGTGCAAGGTGTTTGGGAGCAGATCACAAATTGAATTTGCTTTAAACATTTCTATGAGTGTACTTCAGTACTGCCCTTCAGAATTACAAATGATGGCTATTTTGAGCTTAGTCAAGACAAAATCCAGCATTAAATATAGTATGTTCCTGCCTTAAAATGTATTTAAAATTTTTTAGTCCTTCCCTTAAAATACCTAAACAACAGGCCATAATTTTAAAAGATGGTGGTGTCAGGAGACCAAGAAATTGTCTCTTTCTTTTTAGTACTTCCAGAGCTCTCGGCATCTTTAGGGACTTGATAATTTATTTCAATTTTCTCTTGGTGGCCTTGAATTTCATTTTTGGAAATGGCAGGTGGTATATCGTGGTGGTGCAATCACTTTTGGTTGCCTTTCCATTCCTTGGGAGCTTCCCTGGCTGCCCATATGTCCCAACTGGAAAAAGCCCCGGGGAAGATCTCCAGTGAGATTGTCTCCTTGGGATTTAACTAAAGTGAAACAAGCTAGAGAAACTCAAAATGTTGGACAGATGATTACACGTAGAAGGAAGAAGATGAAAACATCCTGCAGAGATACAATCTGATAAATGGAGGAAGAAACACTCCAGTACAAGCATTTCACTCAATTTCTCTTCTTGAAATTGATTTCTGAAGAAAGTTTTGCCATCAGATTGAAAGAAAATTGGTATAAAATATGCAGAACTTTTTTGCCCAGCATTAAATTTAATTTAGCTCTATTTTTAAATAGCTTTGTTAAATGTGAAAGCATTTTGTTATTTTGTATCATTCTAGAAAAATATGCAGAATTTTTCTGCCCAACACTAACATTAATATGACTCCATTTTAAAAATAGAAACATTATTAAACGTGAAAACATTTTGTTGATCTGCATCATTCTTTTTTATGTATCTTAAGCATCTACCAAGCAATCTGCAGAAAGAGATAAATAAAAGATTCCTCAAAATGTCTTCTCTCCAATAGACTCTTAAGCCGAGAGTTGTTGCTTAGGAACAAAGCTGGCCTTGCAATTTTTTTCAAGATCTCTTTTGCCCAGAATAGCTTGCAATTCTGTCATTTTTGTGGATGTGATTATTTGTAAAGAATAGAAAAGACCAATAGCCAATGTGTTTGATCTGATATTGTTAAGCCACATTTATTATATTTCAGTGAGTAGACACTTTTTTTAAAAAACTGCCTTTGTTGGGTTGAACATATTCTATTTCTAGACTGACTACAGATTTGGAACTAGTTGCTCCAAAGTATAGATATGAACCTTACTTATTTTTTGCCAATAGAAGTATAGGCAGTATATTGAACAATATGCAGTTAAACTCAAAGAAACTCAAATTTGGGTCCCAGCATTACAACAGAATGGAAGGTTGGAACCATCTAGGAAGGCAATGAAAATGTGCAAATGAAGATCAGGAATTGGAGATAAAGGTTCAAATAAGATCTGAAACCAGGCTCAGGGATTACAGACCAGGAAATATGAAATAAACCCTTTAGGTCAGGGGTCGCCTACCTTTTGGACCTCAGGGACCACCAAACTCATAATTTTAAATCCCGCGGACCACTAATATGAATTTTGACTGACAGTGGCTTGCTGACATTGGTGGAAAATTCGGTTCCATATTCCAGAGCTGCAGTAGTCACAGGACTGGCCCTTTGGTCATCCCGGAGCAGCTGCTCCTCCACCCGGGTGCACCGGCCTGCCATGGACTGGAGGAGCTGCTCTGGGATGGCTAAAGGGCCAGTCTTGTGACTACTGCAGCTCTGGAATATGGGACTGACTTTCCCACCAACATCTGCAAGCCACCCTGCGGCAGATTTCCCTCCCCGACCATTGGTGTTACCTTCTAGTTCCAGCTTGCGTGGCTCTACTCAAGGTAAGGTTTGCACTTGGCCAAAGGGTGGGGGCCAGCGGGTGGGCGGGCCATGTCAGTGGAGCACCTTGTGTTCCCATGCAGCCTGGATTAATTGCTTTGGGGGGGACATTTATCTGCGGACCACCAAAATTTTCTCGCGGCCCACCAGTGGTCCCTGGCCCACCAGTTGGCAACCACTACTTTAGGTCAAGGCCAAGTGGAATTGAAGGCAGTAGGTTGTTTGCATAGGAAAAAATGACAGCAAAGACATTCTGGAGCCCAGTAAAATAATACTAGAATGGTCTTCCTTCCATGTTTTATAACTTCAAGGAACAGTATAAGCAAACAGGAAAAGACCCTCCAAACTGGATTTCAGTGAGTACTTTGAGCAAGCAATCAAGAATGAACTACAGTATCCATAGTCCATAGCTAACATTATATTTCATTACAATTACAGGATATAAATTGTACTTTTCTAAATGCTTTAGAGAGGTTTATAATAATAATCTCTATATATAAAAGCGAAATACCACTCATGCATCATCACAAAATCTCCAGAACCATAAAGCCTACAAACTTGAAATTTGGCACATATGTTCCTCTCGGCTTCTAGGTGCTCACTAAGAAAGGATTTTTCTAAATGACCATCAGAGCATTAACATTTCATATATTATTATTAACACACTCTGATGCTAAGGAGTTCTACTCCCCCTCCCCACCTGAAAAGAAATTTGTACCAAATGCAAAACACAAGCAGAGGAGCGGAGTTTCAGTTTCAGTTTCAGGGCAGCACCAGCTTTAGTACAGAATAGTTGAGCTAAGTCACGCCCAGGCTCCTTGCTGTCTCCTTCTTGCTCACACAGCAAATACTGTTTCAGTTTCCAAACAGCCCTCAACTCTCTCACACACTGACAAGACCCCAGCCAGATGAATACCAATGGATGCTTGCTGGTAGGCAGAGGCACAAATTTCCCCCCCTTATTTTCCTCCCCAAAAACTAAGCCCGATTACATAGTTTTGTAGCAAAGCACGGGTATACAGCTAGTACAGAGATAAATGCTACAAACTCTAAGTCCGTGTACTTTGTTGAAAATATTTGAAAAGAATAGGACAATTACCTCCAAATTTTTCACAATGAATCCTGCTGTCGGTTTCTTGGCTAACATTATCTAATGTGTATAAAATGGATGGGAATAGGATATAAAAAATTAGAAACAGTTCTTACTCTTAGTTGTTAAATAATATTACAAAACTTCAAAACATTTTTTAACAATCTTTTATTGGATCTGTGATATTCAGGTATTGTAATGGGAAACTGCACTGTGAGAAAAAAATAACTAAGTACTAAACTCCAATGAAGGATACATTTAACCAAATCTAGTCAACCTATATTAATAATAATTTCCTAATGGATTACTCTTGTTTGGATAAACATTCTTTTGGTTAGATTATGGATTATATGGATTATGGATGATTGTGGATTACTCCTCAAGATTACAAATTATTATATATACTTAAAATAATCTTACACATAATCTCATGTCTTTCTATTGTTAATCTGTTGGTATAAGTGCTGGATTTTACTTTTGTAAATATTTTTTTAAATTATATTTTATTATAATTTTTTGAGAAAGGATTCATTGGTATGGGCAGCTTACATATTCAATTTTTAGGCAATGCTGACCATATTCTAGTATATTTTATTAACCCTATTGACAATAAATGTTACTAGAAGAGACTTTTATTAATACCTTCTTAAAAATGCCTAATACTTCAAAAATATTAATAATGTTGCATTATAGTTTGCCTTCTCCCATCCTTGAATATAAATTGATACTGATCCATCAACAACATTCTGTGCAGAAAATCAGAATTATCTAATTAGGTACTATTACACTAAGAGTGTTGGATTCAGATTCCATATCCAGAACATTAGCATTGCATGTGTAAATCACTGAAGTTGGACAACATACGTAACATTGAAATGTTCAGCAAATGTTAAATTTGATGTATCCTTGATCCTAGCCAGGAGGGTTTTCTTTGGTGTTGAAACGAGCTACATATTTTGAACATATTTTCTATACATAACAGACATACATACATTTGAAATATTGTCTTTGGGAAGGTTTACTTTGAACTACAGAGTATATTTGTAATTCAATTATTAAAATCCATTGAACAAACATCTTGTTGCATAAAATCAATCTATATCAGAATTGTATTTGCTTAATCTTCCTCAATCCTCTATAGTCAAAATTTCAGTTTCTGCTCTACTCTTCCATGCCCCCATCATCTATATTCAGAAATTTCAGTGGATACAGAAAACAATCTAACAATGTTTCAGAAAAATGAGTGCTCAGGCAGCTGTGGAGAAATAAAAAGACATTAGCAAAAACAAAGAGCTTTCTATTTGTTTAATGGGTTGAATGAAATGT